AGGAGCACGGCATAAGGACATGAGGACACCAGGGGTCCCCCCTTCCTAAGTTCACCTCCTTAAGCCAAAACATCTATGCTGGGACCCGAGAGGATGAAGACAAGTCAGTGAAAAGAAGAATCCATGCGAAAAAGGAGAGGGGAGCAAGGCATTTCCCTTACTAAACTAGTCAGTCTATAACCTTGGAGGTGGATATTGAAGAAATTACCCCTATATGAAACACTTTTTAGTGTAATTCCACTGTAATGGGGGATAGGGAAGTAAAACTGTCCACTATAACTGATCCAATCTAAGAAATGACAAACAAAAAAGTGAAAATAACTTTACCAGATAGAAGCTGGGAATAATTTTATTACAAAAATATTCTTTTGAATAATGAGTTTTCAAGGAAATTAAGAAAATGATGTAAAGTTATGCTTTAAGGGAACATGATTTGCACAGCTTCCGCTGCAGTCAGGTAACACTTTGTAAACTGGCCAGACCTCAGAGAGGAGCCAGCAGCCCCCCAACTCTGCCGCACGCCCACTGCCATCCTACCCAGTCAGCAACAAAGTGCTGGCAGCACGAGGTCTTTGCTCCTTTTGTTTACTTAGGGGCAACTTTTATTATCCTACTAGAGGCCCGGTGCACAACATTCGTGCACTGGGCGAAGGGGGTACCTCAGCCCCGCCTGCGCCCTCTCGCAGCAGTTCGGAAGCCCTTGGGGAATGTCCGACGACAGCTTCGGCCCCTCCCTGCCTAAGCCGGCAGTAGGACATCCTTAGTGCTAACACAGAGGCGGGAGAGGCTCCCGCCACCACCACAGCGCTCACCAGCCATCAACCTAGCTTCTGGCTGAGCGGCACTCCCCCTGTGGGAGCACACAGGCCACCAGGGGGCAGCTCCTGCATTGAGCGCCTGCCCCCTGGTGGTCAGTGCACCTCATAGCGACCAGTCATTCCACCGTTCGGTCAATTTGCATATTGCCCTTTTATTATATAGGAGGATTCATGTTCTCTAAACTATCCCTGATTTTGTACAAAACAAGGGCCAGTTCTAGAGGAATAATAATAGTAAAGAAAAACTATTACATGCATCAGAGGTTTAACACCTAGACAATCCAAATGATATTTGGTTCAATTCAATTCCAGATCAATTATAGGTAAAGAAAAAAAAAGCCACAAGGCAAATTTTTTTTTTTTAAATATATTTTATTGATCCTTCACAGAGAGGAAGGGAGAGGGACAGAGAGCCAGAAACATCGATGAGAGAGAAACATCGACCAGCTGCCCCCTGCACACTCCCCACTGGGGACGTGCCCACAACCAAGGCACACGCCCCCGACCGGAATCGAACCCGGGACCCTTGAGTCCGAAGGCCGACGCTCTATCCACTGAGCCAAACCGGTCAGGGCGGCAAATTTTCTTTCTATCTCAGGAGATGAACCAAAAGAATGATTTAAGTCCAGCTGCTTCCTCAATATTTACACCAATGATGAAAACAGAAAGCAGAATTCTAAATGATTAAGAGTTTCAACTCGGTAACCATTTAACACAGCTTAATAGATACAACAAATAATGGTCTCACTTTTAAAAATGCCCAAGTTTCAAAACCACAGAACTAAAATGAATCCATATTGTACAACCAGCACAGAAACCAACAGTTTTCTGAACAAACCCAGCCAAGGCACCCCAACACTCCACAGGAGATCAACCAGAAAACATCTCCCCAACCTTTCTCAGTGACGAACAGGTCCAGGAAGCCCTATCTAAACCGACCAGTGTGTGGCATGGATAATTCTATATCAGCATAGGCATGTCACCAAAAGAACATAGAACACTTAGAAGTAACTGGCAGGTAAACTTACATTCCAAATGTTCCCAACAAACTGCCCAGGAAAGAGTATCAAGAAATGAGTTCTGTCCTATGCGACTGAGCGGGAGGGAGTGGACAGGCTACTGAATCTGCCAACCACAACGTCCTTAACCTCAACGTGGAGAACAGACCAGATGCAGATCAAAGTGCCTCTATTTCCTCAACAGCCAATTCCAAGTCGCTGGCCAGAGCTGCCTGGAGCACCTCACGCGGCTGCTGGACTCCTGGGCCCTGGGCAGTGGGGGTCTGACCTACCAGCACGCTCCCAGGAGCTGGTTCTCCAGCAGCAGAGACTGGGGCTCACCCACGTGCTCGCCTCCACCTCCCTCCTCATCTGTGGCTGTAACTTGCACGAGGAGGCTGCCAAGCCTGGCTGTGCAACCAGGCACTTCCCTGATTTTGAAGACAGATAACAACACCTAACATGTATGCATACTCAACCACTTCACACATGTTCACGCATTTAATTTGCAAACTATCTGTGCTATAGATTGCATTACCATCATCCCCATTTGACAGATGGGAAATGGAGGCACAACTAAATGCAGTAACTTCCCAAGGCTCCAAAGCCGGTAGCAGACCTCTGGCAGACTGGCTCCAGAACCACTCTTAACCCCTGAGCTTCCTGCATTTCTGCCCAGGGTACAGGCAAGCCCGACCAGTTCTGTTAATGCTAAGCACTGAGAAGGCCCCAAGCCCAGGTTTCATGCAGGTGAAAGTCTATATTTTATCTGCAGTCCCGAAATATTTACTCTCCAAAGGTCGTGGATTTGGCAAATAGTGCTCAAATTACCGTACCTTGGGCCCCAGTAGATTACTTTATGTGGCATATGTTTTTAATCAAAATAATTTCATAAATCATCAATTCCACCACATAAAATACACCCTCCACTTAGTAGGACCCTCAGGAAAGGCAAGTTTGAGAGCTGAAGCAGCTCTCCCTTCACAGAGCGTCAGTCGAGTGGTAAGTACTCTTCGCCCCAGCATGCCGGCCAGGTCCATTTTCTGAGTCAAGCCCTTTTCCTAAGGAGGGAAATGCCACTTGCCAAGCGACCTGCTGAATATGTGGTCTCATTAACCCCGTTAAAGGAGTGCGCACGTGGCCCCACGAACGCAGATTTACAAGGCGTCACCGGTGCAGAGTCATCTTTTTAAATTTTTATCTAAATCGCACTCCAAAGCATAGATTATCTTCAGGTGATCCCACTGGATCCTTTCACATGTGACCACACTTCAGGTCACACACATGAAACCACCCTGGCTTGTCTCCAATTCAAGCCTCGTGGTATCCAATGTAACGGGCAGATCTGTCTTTTTTTATTTCCTTTCCCCCATGTCAACAATGCAGTAAGAAACTTACACTCAAGCTTCTAATCTTTAAAATATAAAAAGAACAGAACTGCATTGGAAATAAAAATTAAATGAATATGAGGAACATTTTGAGAGTCAGGAAGTCAGGTGTGTGGTGTTTTTAAAGAAAGTCCTCCAGTTGGTGAATGTTTTGGTTCACAGTAAACCCTCCGTGTCCCCAAAGGAAAAAGCGGGCCGAGCACCCACACTCTATGCATGTGCTTCTGTTCATCCGTACCCTGAAGTTAATGTCTTTCTTATCCTACAGAAAAGTATAATTTTAATGTCAAAGTTTTCCCATTTTCTTCCAAATGAATCATTCTGCACCTCACCTTGGACACCAAAAACAAAAGATCATGATTTCTAATCTCCTCTAGTCCCAAACCTGGAACAACAAGTCAAGGGCTGTCGTTGTCTCAAATACAAACGTGTTCAGTGAACCGTCACCAAAGGCTTAGTCACGCTCTGGACCAGGTCAGGGCCGGATCCCTCCTCGTTCCAGTTCCTCAACCTGGTCGGCCGGGGCCGAGGCCGGGCCCGGGGGCCGGGGGCCTCCGCGTTCCAGTTCCTAAACCTGGTCGGCCGGGGCCGAGGCCGGGCCCGGGGCGGGGGCCGGGGGCCGGGGGCCGGGGGCCGGGGCGGGGGCCGGGGGCCGGGGGCCGGGGGCCGGGGGCCGGGGGCCGGGGGCCTCCGCGTTCCAGTTCCTAAACCTGGTCGCCTGCGAAGACGCCCGCGCGGCTGAGAGAAGGCGCGGGTAAGGGCCCGCCGCCCCGCACACCAGGAGGAAGTCCTGCTCATCAAGGAACCTTTAGGAAGAACACAAGTTCGCTGTTTGAAGCGCAGAAGCCGCACAACAAAACCACAAAAGGGAAACAACTAGGTCCCTGCGCGGAGACCAGGCGGTGCCGCACGGCTGTCGGTGGCCCCGCTGCCCACGGGCCCTCGGCGGGACGCCTGGGGCCGGGGCCGGGGCTGCTGTGGCTGCACCGCTTCGCCCGCTGACCCGCCTGGCACCCCGGCCCGGTCCGGCAGCCGGCACCCCTCCGAGGGGCGGCACGTGACGAGCGCCCGCAGCAGCTGCTCCCCGTTCCCTCCGGGCTGGGACCCATGACTCAGCGGCCCGGCTGTGCCAGGACCCGGCCCACCTGGTTCCCCTCCGGCCCCGCGCCCGGCGGCCCCGGACTCCGCCGGGGCGCGAGCAGCACCAGCGCGGCCGTCCCCGCGTCCCCGGCTCAGTCCCCGCGGCCCCGCTCAGGCTCAGCCCCAGCGCTCGCTCCGCCCGAGGGCCCGGACGGAAGGCGCCCCCGGGTCGGCGCGGCACCGGCCCCTCTGCCGGGCCGGCGTCCCTGACGCAGCCCGTCCCAGCCCCGCGCCCGTCCGCGTCCCCGCCGCCCCTCGGCCCGCGCTCCCCTCCCCGCGGCCCGCGCCCCCCGCCGCCGCACCGCCCGGCCGAGCCCTCCCGGAGACCCGCGCGTGCCCCGGGGTCGGCGGTGCCGGAGGGGCAGGAGGACCGCGCGGAGCCGGGCGGGCTGGGGCGGGACCAGGGACCGGCGGGCGGGCTGGGCAGAGGCCCCCGGACCGCGGCCCGGCACGTACCCCCACCCGCCCGAGGCAGGACGGCACGGCTTGTCCACAGGGCCGGCGGGTCCTCCTTCCGGCGGACGCGGCCACTTCCAGGAACCGGGCCGCCGCCGCCCCCGCCCCGCCCCGCAGGCAGCCGCCCGCACAGGCCCGCAGCCCGCACCGCGGACGCCGGAACCCTCCGGGGAAGAGCGTGGGGCGACCAAGCCACTCACCGGAGCCGAGACACGGCGCGGCCCGACTGACGGCAGCGAGAGGGCCGGCCGGACGGACAGACGGCGGGCGGGCAGCGGTCAGGTGACTCACCGCCTCCCCGCGGCCGGCCGCTCGCTCCTCTCCTTTCTCCTCAGCAGCCGCCACCGCCTCCGGGCGCCGAGGCCACGCCCCCTCGAGGTCCCGCCCCCTTAGCCCTCCTCGCGATACCCGGCCCGCCCTTCTCGGGACGCCGAGGCCCCGTCCCCAGGCCCGCCTCGCGATGTTTCGCACCGCCCTCGCTGGAGGCCACGCCCTCTCTCGAGGCCCCGCCCCCATGCCCGCCTCGCTATGTTTCGCACCGCCCTCGCTGGAGGCCCCGCCTTCCGTGGAGGCCCCGCCCCCAGGCCCGCCTCGCGAGGCCCCGCCCCGCAGCCCGGGAGTCCCGAGTCCCGCGCGGCTGAAGGTGCTCCGATGCTGAGTCCGCGCCGCCTGAAGCCCCCGCTGGGAGCGCGGCGGGGGCGCGCGGGCAGGGGAGGGGCGGGGCTCGGGAGGCGACGGCGGGGTCGCTCGGCCAGGTGTTGGGGCGGAGAGGAGGAGGCCGACGTGCCCCGGCGCTGGTGTTGCCCGGCTTCCCCAAATGAGCAAAGCCCCCCCTCTTTTCCCCGCCGCCCGCCCCGAGAGCCGGGACTCCCGCGGTCAGAGCGGCGGGACGGGCGGGAACACGTGGTCCCCAGCCTCTTGGGTCGCCGGCGGGAGCCCGGGCAGCGCGCAGCCCCGGTCGGCAGGTGGGCAGCGCCCGGGTAAGCTGGGATCTGCAGCTCGCGGGCAGCGGGAGAGTGCCTCCTGCACCTACAGCCCAGACAGCACCCCGGACCCAGACAGACAGCACCCGGACCCAGACCGCACCCGGGTCCAGACAGCATCCCGGACCCAGACAGCAACCAGGGCCCACACAGTACCCCAGACCCAGACAGACAGCACCTGAACCCAGACAGACAGCACCCAGGGCCCAGACAGCACCCGGACCCAGACAGCACCCCTGACCCAGGCAGCACCCCGGGCTCAGACAGCACCCCGGACCCAGACAGCACCCAGGACCCAGGCGGCACCCGGACCCAGACCGCACCCCGGGTCCAGACAGCAACCAGGACCCAGACAGCACCCAGACCCAGACAGCACCCCGGACCCAGACAGCACCCGGACCCAGACCGCATCCCGGGTCCAGACAGCATCCCAGACCCAGACAGCAACCAGGGCCCACACAGTACCCCAGACCCAGACAGACAGCACCCTGGGCCCAGACAGCACCCGGACCCAGACAGCACCCCGAACCCAGACAGCACCCAGGACCCAGACAGCACCCAGACCCAGACAGCACCCCAGACCCAGACAGCACCCGGACCCAGACCGCATCCCGGGTCCAGACAGCATCCCAGACCCAGACAGCAACCAGGGCCCACACAGTACCCCAGACCCAGACAGACAGCACCCAGGGCCCAGACAGCACCCGGACCCAGACAGCACCCAGGACCCAGACAGCACCCAGACCCAGACAGCACCCAGGACCCAGGCGGCACCCAGGACCCAGACGGCACCCAGGACCCAGATGGCACCCCTGACCCAGAGAGCACCCAGGGCCCAGACAGCACCCAGGACCCAGACAGCACCCCGGACCTAGACAGCACCCAGGACCCAGACAGCACCCAGACAGACAGCACCCTGGACCCAGACAGCACCCCGGACCCAGACTGCACCCCGGACCCAGACTGCACCCAGACCCAGACAGCACCCGGACCCAGGCAGCACCCAGGGCCCAGGCAGCACCCAGGAGCCCCTCTGTCTCACCGGGACCCAGGTGTGCCCTTGGCACTGCGGCGGCCAGGAAAGCCCAGCACCCGTGGCCTAGCCTAGCTCTGCTCAGGCCTTTGTTTCTGCTGCTTATGCTGGTCTTTATCCAGCGTCTATTTTATTTATTTTATTTTAAATGTATGACTTATTGTTGATAGTTTTACAGGTCTCTCCCATCCCCCCCCCCCCTTAGCCCCTACCCCACACCCAGCCCCAGGTCTTCACTACCCTGTCGCCCCTCAGTTTTAAAGTTGAGCTGCAGAGGCGCCCAGTGGCCCGGGACGTGAAGTGGCGTCTCTGCGAGGAGATATGTGCAAAGCGGCAAAGCCTGTGCGGGCCCCACGCCACCACCTGACGTCACCACCCTGCGGCCCCCAGGACTTTTCGAAAGGATTTTGCCTTCGGCTGGGGAGTTCAGGGGGAGAGAGAGGAGCGGGGGCCCAAGGCGGGGAACGTTTCAAAACCCCTTGAAGCCTGCAGCGGCCTATAGGTGACCCCAGGTCTGTCCCTCTTCCATCTGGGAGGGGAGTTTGATTTCCAGGCCGTTGGATCGGGCAGCTGTGTAACTGCGTGGACCATGGAACACCCAGGAGGGGTGCTGGGGCAGGTCTTAAGGAGAACTGGCATCTTCTACTTCTTTCCCCAAAGGATCTCTCTGGGACACCCTCTCAACAGGCCACCTCCCCACCCCCTGCTGTGAGAAGCCAGCAGGGACCCCTGTCCTCTCCCCCAGCCTAAGCCAGCATCAGGTGTGTGCGAGCCACCTTCCTGTCATGGCCCAGCCAAGCTCACGTGACTCCAGCCCTAGCCAGAAGAGCCCCCAGCCCAGCCCGTCAACTCACAGAATCATCCACACTAATAAAAGAGAAACATGCAAATTGGTGTCACTCCGCTACGCCCACCAGCCAATCAGAGCATCTATGCAAATTAACCCAACAAAGATGGCAGTTAATTTGCATGTGCAGGCGCAGAGCGAAGACTGAAGGCTCCAGCCAGAGTGATTGAAGACTGAAAAGGCATGGCTTCTCTGCTGCAGCCAGACCAAAGGCCTGGGTCCCGGGTGCCGGAGGAAAATCGGTGCCGGCAGTCAGGGGAGGAAGGCCTATTGCGCGAATCTCTTCATGCAACGGGCCTCTAGTGAGATAATAAAATGATTGTGGCCCTCGCTGGTTTGGCTCAGGAATAGAGCGTTGGTCTGCAGGCTGAAGGGTCCTGGGTTCGATTCCGGTCAAGGGCATGTTCCTTGGTTGCAGGTTCCTGGCCCTGGCCGGGGTGCATGCGGAGGCAACCAATCAACGTGTCTCTCTCACATCAATGTTTCTCTCTCTGTCTCTCCTCCCTTCTTCCACTCTCTCTCTAAAAATCAATGGAACAATATCCTCAGGTGAGGATTAAATAATAATAATAAAATGATTGTTGTCTTAAGCCACTAAGTTTTGGGGTGTTTTGGTTAAAGAAAATATCTGATGATGGGACAGAGCTTGAAAATGCAGTTAAATTTGTAAGAAGAACCACAAGGATCAGGGCTTAGAGGAAAGGTCAGATAAATAAAACAGAAATCATGTCAAAGGGACTTTCATTTTAAACCTGTGTCCACCCCCTTGATCAGAGATGACCCTTGAGGGGGTCCCCAGTGACAGGGTTCCCTCATTCTGCTGCGTGTATTTATATACTGAAGTCAGGAATGGTTCTTCTCTCAGAAGCCAGTGCTGGAAATTGGACTTTATATCACTATACGGACACGTATATGTGCATACGCAGATCTCGTAATGAGTGCTTGGCAATAGCAAGTGAGACCGTAGGATTTGGGGTGCAGCCTGCGTGCTTGGCACCTAGTGGGGGCGGTGGGAGGGGACGGAAGGGTGGGTGGGAGCCAGAACACGGACAGGTGCACAGAGCCCCCCGAAGCGTCCTGACGCCGCGGGAGATTCCCAGCTGGTTGGTGCACGTGCTCACTGTCCAGCCAGTGACGGTTGTGCTTGGTGCCGAGTCAGACACAGTCGTCTTCAGCCACAGTCACGTCCGCAAAGCACGAAACCCCACAGACGCTCTGCTTCGCGCCCTTGTTAAGGCTTCCATTCAGGACAGCGCCTGCAGCTCTGCATCTTTAAAATGTGCGCAAGGGCCGGGCTCTACAAATCACATATTCCTTTAATGAAAGCATTCTCGCTGGCCAGCGTGGCTCAGTGGTTGAGTGTCAACCTATGAACCAGGAGGTCACGGTTCAATTCCCAGTCAGGGCACATGCCTGGGTTGTGGGCTTGATCCCCAGTAGGGGGGCGTGCAGGAGGCAGCGGATCCATGGTTCTCTCTCATTGTTGATGTTTCTCTCTCTTCCTCTCCCTCCCTCTCTGAAATAGATAAAAATATATTTTGAAAAAAGCATCCTCAAAATGCCTTTCCCGGCCCTAGCCGACTTGGCTCAGTGGATACAGCATCAGCCTGCAGACTGAGGGGTCCCAGGTTCAATTCTGGCCAAGGGCCCATGCCTGGGTTGCGGGCTTGATCCCCAATAGGGGGCGTGCAGGAGACAACTGATCAATGATTCTCTCTCATCACTGATGTTTCCATCTCTCTCTCCTCCCTTCCTCTCTGAAATCAATAAATATATATATTAAAAAAATGCCTTTCCAGGGCAGGGGCACAGTGCATAGAGGTGCCATATTTGGACTCAGATTTGCTCCCCTTCTGGCACCTCTTGCCTCACTCGCCTGCAGCAAGGTTCTCAGCAGAGGCTGCCCCCCAGGAGACACTGGCATTGATATGGGGGTGCACTGGTATTCAGTGGGTAGAGGCCAGAGACGCTGCTGAACACACTACCATGCACAGGACGTCCCACAGATAAAACCTGTGAATGAAGACACTGATTCCCCATTCACAGCGCAGAACCCCTGGGTCCACAGTGTCAATAGTGCCCAGGGTGGGAGACCCTGACCTCGGGGTCCTCGAGCTCCGATGTGGGAAGTGTGTTCATGAACTAAAAGAAGGAATAAGAGGAGATGCAGTGGAGCCAGGACAAAGCTAAGGAGACTTATCACCAAATGCAGAACCTCAGCCGAGAGGGGCTGCAGGCTGACCTGTAGGCTCCCAGCAGCCGGGTTCAAAGGGAAACCTGCTGAGTGAGTGAGGAGCTAACTGGTGGGTGGGACTGGGTGGCCCAGGGAGAGGAGGAAGTGCCCAGCGGGGACCCAGCACCAGCCGGCCCCTGGCCAGGGCACCATACGGGAAGTGCTTTGGAAATGGGGTACAAGGACTGGCCTCTGAGATGTGAAAGCTGTAACATAAGGAGGGGAGATGCACAGACTGCCATAGAGAGCATCCACGGCCCCTGGCCAGCCCTCCA